CTATAATAAACTGTAATTATCAGAACATAAAAATTATATAAATTAAAATAAAAATGAGAAAAAAGGTATATCAGCAACACTTCTGCAAGTGGCAGGACTCGATGTTGCCATCAGGTGAGCATCCAACGCCAACTTCGCCAACTGGTCCTAATTTTTTTTTTTTTTGGTCTGATAACACACAGAAAATTGCCCTCTTTAATTAAAGAATTTTTTTTTTTTTTCCAAAATATTCAGACTGTAATTATCAGCTTTATAATTAAAAAATAGAAAAAGGTTGACCGTAGTGGCAGCTCGATGTGAAGGTGAGATCAACAAGATGGTCTAATGGTCTGATAACAAAGAAAATGCTTAATAGATTTTACAGTTGTTGGAATTTAAGGTTAAACAAGGCATCAAGAAGGTCACAAATGGATGCTGACGCGATGTGATTGCTGCCCAGTGCTCTGAATGTGAAGGTGAAGAGATTCAAACAAGAGTGGGTAAATGGCTGGAGTAACTATGATAGTCTGCTTAATATATTTTTCAGATTTGGGGTCATATTGTGTTTTAACCCTTTCAGGGTCGAGAGGCCCTCTCCAAAACTTGTTCTCAGGGTCAAAAATTTTTCAGAAAAAAAAATTATTTTTTTGTTATGAAATGATAGAGAATCTTTTCCCAATCATAATGACACCAAAAGTATGAAATTTGGTGGAAAACTTACGGAATTATGCTCTCGCGAAGTTAGCGGTCTCACTAATGTTGATGCATCGGCGATTTCACCCACTTTGAACCCTATTTTCAGCCAATTCCTGTGTACTAGTCGACAAAAATCATATTTATTTCGCTAGAACTCCATTTTTTCTATCGAATGAGTACAAGAAACCACCCATTTACCAATTTCAACTATCCAATACAGTGGTTAGAAATTGGCAATTTGCCAATTTCACACAAATTTCAGAAGATGCCAATTTCCAAATAGGGTCCAGAATAAACAAGACAGACATTCCTGGCACTAAAATAACAAGTTCTCTGTTAGTTAGTCATGTCTCCAGGCCCCTCTTACATTTCTTTTGCTTTCCACTTTGAATTTTTATTCTCACAAAAAATAAAACATTTACTGTTATGCAGACTACTGCATTAGTGTAGAAATGGTATAAATAATATCAGCGCACTTGTGAAAGAATATTAGACTCACCAGTTGATGTGTATTGGATGCTTGGCATGATTTGTTTACTTTTGAACTTGGGTAAAAATTGAACATTTCTGCTACTGTGAGCTCAATTTCAAGTACTTTTCATAGTGAAACAAATCAAAATCATCTCAATTTCTGTAATATGTCTTCCATTCTATAAAATGAGACCAGGAAAACTAGAATACAACCATAAATACCATACGAAAATACAGTGCAAAGTCGCTGTTTTAACCCAAAAACACGGTCAAAGTTTTTTTTTTCTCGTTACGCACTGTGTGCTGCAGGATTTTTTTTTTTATACTGCACACACTGACCACATAGACCCATTCTTTCATATGTAGGCCTACCAGCTTTCTCTCACTAGATTTGACAGCGCTAGAATTTAGGCATTCTAGTACGTCAATAACCCTGGTGCGTAAGCCGTACTAGTATGTCGGAAACCCTGAAAGGGTTAAAGACTACATCTCTTTAATATATCACTCTAATATAGTTAATTCTGACATTCATAAAGAATGACCAGAATAAAATGAGATTTATGTAAGGAAAAAACACTGAGAAAATGTGTACCCAAAGAAAACCCATGAATCATCAAATTCAATAGTGGTCTACCCATCAGTAAAAATTTTTTTTTTTCAACAAACCAGCCATATCCCACCAAGGAAGGGTGGCCCAAAAAGAAAAACAAAAGTTTCTCTTTTTAAATTTAGTAATTTATACAGGAGAAGGGGTTACTAGCCCCTTGCTCCCAGCATTTTAGTCTCTTCTTACAACACGCATGGCTTACGGAGGAAGACTTCTGTTCCACTTCCCCATGGAGGTAAGAGGAAATAAATAAGAACAAGAACTAGAAAGAAAATAGAAGAAAACCCAGAGGGGTGTGTGTATATATATGCTTGTACATGTATGTGTATTGTGACCTAAGTGTAAGTAGAAGTAGCAAGACGTACCTGAAATCTTGCACGTTTTATGAGACACAAAAAAGGACACCAGCAATCCTACCATCATGTAAAACAATTACAGGCTTTCACTTTACACTCACTTGGCAGGACAGTAGTACCTCCCTGGGCAGTTGCTGTCTACCAACCTACTACCTATGATCAGTATAAATATACTGAATAATCAAACTCCCCAAATGAGGAGCCCCATGAGTGTGTGATCTCAACTGTACATCAGTTGATTAAATCAGGAAATGACATTTAACACAATAGGATATAAATTGTTGAGAAGTGAGAGAATAGTCTCTCAATGATGATGCAGCACAAAGTGAACAATAGAATACAGTTTACCAGGTAAAGTGCAGAGCAGAGTTTTCATTGATAATGGCTGAAATGGCAGAAAGTGTGAGTAACGAACAGACCAAATGGAAAAGGATGTATGAATCATGTGATGTATTTTCTTTGAAGAATATAAGTAAACATGGGCAAGAAAAAGAAACTTTTGAATTCATGGATATGGAAAATATCATGGAAGCCAAGAAAATGATGGGGAAGATAATGAAAACTTTCAAAACAAGGGAAATAGTGCCAATGGTGATGCTTTTCAAATCACTTGTGCTTTCTCGCTTAAAGTATTGTTCAGTGTTGAGGGCTCCTTTCAGGGCAGGAGATATCCGAGCTGGAACTGACAGAGCATAGAGCCCATAAAGCATTTAAATTGCTGAGAATGCCTCAAAGTCCTAAGGTGCCTGAGGGTCTGGTCCAAATCTGCACATTACTTAACAACAGGGGTGTCATGGGCACAATACGGGAATGTTGCATCAATATCTGTGGGCCCATACTATTTAAAACTAACACAAGATATTAGAAACATTGCCAGAAAAAATGTAGAAATTTTCAAGAAAAAATCTGACATGTACCTCTGCCAAGTGCCACATTAGCTAGGCTGTGATGAATATGTGGGCTAGCAGGCTGCCGGTAGTAACAACTTGGTCGATTACGCAAGCACCAGACAAGCTTGGCTCAAGGCCAGGCTCTGAGAATATGAAAACTCTCAAAAGACTCCAAGGATATATTTAATTTCAACACAACGAGGCAGGGTGACCTAAAAATAAAAAATTAAAGTTTTCCTTTTAAATTCAGTAATTTATACAGAAGAGGTTACCAGCCTCTTGCTTCCGGCATTTAAGTCACCTCTCATGACACGCATGGCTTATGAAGGAAGAATTCTTTTTCCATTTCCCCATGTGTAGTGTAACTTATGTCACATTACACATGCATGTACATGCATGTGCAAGTAGAAGTAGCAAGACATACCTGAAATTTTGTACATTTTTGAGACAGAAAAAAAGACACCAGCAATCCTACCATGTAAAACAATTACAGGTTTCCATTTCACATTCATGTGGCAGGACATAGTACTTCCCTGGGTGGTTGCTATCTACCAACCTACTACCTAGGTTTGCCTCAGATTATTTTTATTATATCCATGGTGAGGTGCTAAATCTGTAGGGGTCATACTGTGCATGGGAAATGGGAAGTTATCAGATTTGATCCAAGAAAGGGAAAGGTAACTCCAATTGTTTGAATCAATAACCCTTCACCACCACTAAGCCACCTACCAAATTCTTAATTAAAGAAGTTGCCCATCAAGTGATGACTTGACAGAAGTCCAGATCACCCTATTGGATAGGGTTTTCCGGCCTATAAACAACAAAATACAGTAGACCCTTGAGTTACAATAATAATAATATGTGCCAGAAGACGCATCATTCTTCAAAACTACCATTACTCATATCCTAAGTTACATGATTTTGTGGTAATTTGTTCCAAGACTCCAGAAGTGCAACTTTTACTATGCCTTGGTCTTGGAAAGTTGGTGGTGTGGTGGTGGGGAGAGGGTGGAGAAGAGGTTACTGGTTGGTGGTCGGGGAGACGGTGGTGAAGAGGTTACTGGTTGGTGGTGTGGTGATTGGGGAGAGGGTAGAGAAGAGGTTACTGGTTGGAAGAAGCTCCTTTCAGCTGCTGCCTCTTGAAAAACCTGTCCAGAGTTGTTTGTTTTTCTCACTTTCATCTGAGGCTATTAAAATAAGATAAAACATTATCTTCTAAAAACAAAGGAAGTGAGTTCAGGTTATTTATATGTCTGGGTGCTTTCTTCTGATTCTTTTCATATTTTCCCAATGTAAATAATTCCTGAATTTCTGCAGCTGTTATCCTATGGTCATCTTCCTCCCCACTGTCCTGATCCATCTCCCCTAATTCCTGGAGTCCCTCTGTTGTTAACTCCGTTCTGAAATAACTCCTCCACATCCTTTTCATCAACATCCAGACCCCACTGCCTCACCAAGAGCAACAATCTCCTGGTTTACATTCTCCTCAACCTCAAATCCTTCAGAGTCATAGGTGACTGATAGCCACAATTTCTTGCTTGATCTTTAGAGAAACTGCCTGTTTACTGTGCACTTTAGGGATCATGACTTGGTAACACCAAAGATGGTATGATTAAATCACAAGGGTAAATAATCCAGATCTGGTGCAGGCAACACACATGGCTGCTTCAAACTGAAAAGGAAACATTATACTGTAGCACAAACACTGACACTGACTGAGATGCTACCCCAGAGACATTCATTCCTATCACTGACCGGCTGCTAAGCCACCCCCACTGATGCTCCTATTGGCTTGGACACTGCCCAAGAGGCAAGCTACCACATCACCTGCTAGCTGAGGCCCACCCCCTTGCACCGACCATCATATGCGTATCGTATGTCAAATTTTTCATTGTGACTCAAAACTCAATTCCTTTATAAGCAGTAAACTGTGACTCACAATTATCACAACTCAAGACCATTGTAATAGTCTGAAAGTGGTGTAAGAAAAAAAGAACTTACCTCATAAGTTCATCAATAACAATGAAGTTGGTATGTTCCGTGCTTGGGGCAAAATAAACAATATCTCCCTTTTCTATCTTGTTATCCTTTATATGGTCAGCGGAATTGAAACGAACCACATAAAATGGTTCTTGAACAGGGCCAAACACATCAAACACTTGTCCAAGTGTTCTCTTGCCATGATCCAAAAAGAGTACAGAGTCCAAATCAATGGCAGGGATCTTTGCAAAGGCTTCCACCACAACTGAAAAACACTTTTGTTACTATACTTCATAATATTTATTTTTCTTTGTAGTAGCTGCATACCAGCTCCTTGCATTAGACACTAGCCAACATTTATGGCACTCATGGCTTATGCATAAATTTTAACTCACTTCCTCATGGAACTGGAAAGGAATTGCTATGGGATTACCTAACGTTAATGTGAAGCAGTTAGTGAATAAAAAAAAGTTATGTCTTACAATTAAATGACTGAAGAAATATTCAAGTAAAGGAGCTTTCTTCCCTACAGTGTGACTACTTTCCAGGAGCCTAGCCTGGGGTTAGGCTTACATGTTAATTGCCTGTTTAACCAAGCTGTTGCTGTTAGCAACCCACTGCCCCCACAACCTGGTTGATCTGGTATTTGGCACAGGCAGTGAAAATTATATGAGTGAAATGATAACCATTTACTGTATGGGTGAAATTATAACCATTTAATGTATGGGTTAAATGGTAATAATTTAATGTATGGGTGAATTGATAACCACTTAACCCGTAAACGGTCCAAGTAGATCTACGTTCACATGTGTAGTGCTACAAAAGTAGATCTAAGTTTTTTTTTACATATTTTCAAATATAACAGAAAAAAAAGAGGAGATCAAAGTTTTTTTTTACACATTTTCAAATGTAGAAAAACAAAAAGAATATCTACTTTTTTTACATACTTTCAAATGTTGAAAAAACGTATATATACGTTTGGACCGTTTACAGGTTAATGTATGGGTGAATTGATAACCACTTAATGTATGGGTGAAATGATAAAAATTTAATGTATGTATAAAATGATAACCATTTAATGTGTGAGTGAAATGTTAATCATTTAATGTATGGGTGAAATGATCATTTAATATATGGGTGAAATGAAACAGGAAGAATAAGGTATGTGGAGAAGACAGTAAACACACACACTAGATCTTCTCACTAACCTTGCTGCTCAACAGTGTTGAATACTGTTCCTATGGGGACAGCCTTTTCCTCTGGCACAGATATGTGTAAGTCCTCGATGGGTGGCAACTCATGTAGCTGCAGTTCTCCAGGAGTGACCAGAATGTTAAGCTTTGATGCAGGTTTCTTCTGCACCTGATGTCTGATAGTGGATACAACACTATGTTAAATAACCAATAGTTACCAGGTAAAGCTAATAAACTAAGGTATATTATCATCAGAGTTATACAGCATCTGGGGAATAGGAGGTAATCAAGTTTCATCTAAGGAAGGAAAGGGTAGCTCCATCAAGCTTGATATAAGGAAGGAAAGGGTAGCTCCATCAAGCTTGATATAAGGAAGGAAAGGGTAGCTCCATCAAGCTTGATATAAGGAAGGAAAGGGTAGCTCCATCAAGCTTGATATAAGGAAGGAAAGGGTAGCTCCATCAAGCTTGATATAAGGAAGGAAAGGGTAGCTCCATCAAGCTTGATATAAGGAAGGAAAGGGTAGCTCCATCAAGCTTGATATAAGGAAAGGGTAGCTCCATCAAGCTTGATATAAGGAAGGAAAGGGTAGCTCCATCAAGCTTGATATAAGGAAGGAAAGGGTAGCTCCATCAAGCTTGATATAAGGAAGGAAAGGGTAGCTCCATCAAGCTTGATATAAGGAAGGAAAGGGTAGCTCCATCAAGCTTGATATAAGGAAGGAAAGGGTAGCTCCATCAAGCTTGATATAAGGAAGGAAAGGGTAGCTCCATCAAGCTTGATATAAGGAAGGAAAGGGTAGCTCCATCAAGCTTGATATAAGGAAGGAAAGGGTAGCTCCATCAAGCTTGATATAAGGAAAGGGTAGCTCCATCAAGCTTGATATAAGGAAGGAAAGGGTAGCTCCATCAAGCTTGATATAAGGAAGGAAAGGGTAGCTCCATCAAGCTTGATATAAGGAAGGAAAGGGTAGCTCCATCAAGCTTGATATAAGGAAGGAAAGGGTAGCTCCATCAAGCTTGATATAAGGAAGGAAAGGGTAGCTCCATCAAGCTTGATATAAGGAAGGAAAGGGTAGCTCCATCAAGCTTGATATAAGGAAGGAAAGGGTAGCTCCATCAAGCTTGATATAAGGAAGGAAAGGGTAGCTCCATCAAGCTTGATATAAGGAAGGAAAGGGTAGCTCCATCAAGCTTGATATAAGGAAGGAAAGGGTAGCTCCATCAAGCTTGATATAAGGAAAGGGTAGCTCCATCAAGCTTGATATAAGGAAGGAAAGGGTAGCTCCATCAAGCTTGATATAAGGAAGGAAAGGGTAGCTCCATCAAGCTTGATATAAGGAAGGAAAGGGTAGCTCCATCAAGCTTGATATAAGGAAGGAAAGGGTAGCTCCATCAAGCTTGATATAAGGAAGGAAAGGGTAGCTCCATCAAGCTTGATATAAGGAAGGAAAGGGTAGCTCCATCAAGCTTGATATAAGAAAGGCGTAGCTCCATCAAGCTTGATAAGGAAGGAAAGGGTAGCTCCATCAAGCTTGATATAAGGAAGGAAAGGTAGCTCCATCATACTTGATATAAGGAAGGAAAGGGTAAGCTCCATAAAGCTTGATATAAGGAAAGGGTACTCCATCAAGCTTGATATAAGGAAGGAAAGGTAGCTCCATCAAGCTTGATATGAGGAAGAAAGGGTAGCTCCATCAAGCTTGATATAAGAAAGGGTAGCTCCATCAAGCTTGATATAAGGAAGGAAAGGGTAACTCCATCAAGCTTGATAAAGGAAGGAAAGGTAGCTCCATCAAGCTTGATATAAGAAGGAAAGGGTAGCTCCATCAAGCTTGATCTTAGGAAGGAAAGGGTAGCTCCATCATGCTTGATCTAAGGAAGGAAAGGGGTAACTTCATCAAGCTTGATCTAAGGAAGGAAAGGGTAGCTCCATCAAGCTTGATATAAGGAAGGAAAGGGTAGCTCCATCAAGCTTGATATAAGGAAGGAAAGGGTAACTCCATCAAGCTTGATATAAGGAAGGAAAGGGTAGCTCCATCAAGCTTGATCTAAGGAAGGAAAGGGTAGCTTCATCAAGCTTGATCTAAGGGAGGAAAGTGTAGCTCCATCAAGGAAACGGTAGCTCCAACTCCTTAGATCAAGAGTCCTTCACCAACATCAAGGCATTCTACTTGAAGTGTTGTAAATTACAGTCATTCACATAAAACAAAAACCCACAATACCATGACTGGAACAATACACAAATAACCCACACATAGGAGATACTTATGATGATGTTCGGTCCAACTCGAACCATTAACTAGTCACATATTAACACTCGAGGGTAAGGGAGCCAGGACACGAGGGCAGAAGTCACGAGTTTCTTTCTCCTATGTGTGGGTTATTTGTGTACAGTTATCCACACTCTTGCATTACATTATTTTTTTTTTAGAGCAGTCTCCACAATTTAAGAAAGAGTCTAGTTAGAATTTGTATGGATTATGCTGACTTGCTGAATGCCACCAACTATGACCTGTACTAAAGCCAAGATGTCAGTGAAGAAAAGCATTTGAATCTGGAAACTAGCAAAACAAATAAACCAGCCCATTCACTGTACAACTCTAATACAGGATTCTCCAAATTACAAACACCCCCAGTTATATTTACCCACACTTATGAATGGACACTAAACTAGCAAACATTTACAACTGCCGAGAGACAGTAAGAATGTATGAAACATAAGTCAGCCTTCGTACTATTATTTTTAGAAAATAATAGTACTAAAGTGAAAAATCAGGAATGCAACTTGTTTATATGTTAAAGATTTCTTGTATCCAAAAACTACAAACTTCAATGGCAAAAAAAAAAAGAGGAGGAAGTATAACAATAATAGATTATATAAACATTGATCAAGATAACCCAAAAAAGAAACCAGACATCCACGTAATAAATAAGTTAAGGTATTAAAAAATCAACAAGGCATAATAACCCAAAGAAGAAAAAGCCATTCACCATCACTCATTCCATAGCTGTTTTTTCAGAAATGGATGAAGATCATAATTCAAATAACCCACCAATCAACAACATCCTCACTCACTGATCGGAGCTATGGAGCTGAACACACACACCAAGGCTGAGGGACTGACTACCTCGTATCTACATATCCACTCCTGCTGTCTCCTCTGTATTTCAATGGAAGAAGCCTGCTGAGGAGGCAGGCAATAAAGATATCAAATTGTTGCACATGCGTCTTACTCATCTACTTGTCAGTATTGTATATCATTAACATAATGATTTCCCAGCCATCCTCCATAGTGCTGACACTCTACTTCCCACTTTATGTCAGCCAGTTTCCTCTGAATCCCTTTGTACATGAAGGGGGTAGGTGAGTTTAAGTGGGGAGAAATAAATGAGATTAAGTCAGGAGCATCTGAGAGAGTTAGAGCTAAGGAAGGGGTAGCAATAATGTTGAAGGATCAGTTATGGAAGGAGAAGAGGGAATATAAATGTATAAATTCAAGGATTATGTAGATTAAAATAAGGGTCAGATGCAAAAAGTGGGTCACAGTAAGTGTATGCACCTGTAGAAGAGAAGAGTGTAGAGGAGAGAGAGAGATTTTGGGAGATGTTTAGCGAGTGTGTAGGAACTTTTGAACCAAATAAGAGAGTAATTGTGGGAGGGGACCTAAATGCTAAAGTAGGAGAAACATTTAAAGAACGTGTGGTAAGTAAGTTTTGGGTCCCAGGTGTAAATGATAATGGGGGTCCTTTGATTGAACTTTGTATAGAAAGGGGTTTGATTATAGGAAAAAGAGAATAAATAAGTATACAAGATATGATGTAGGGCATAATGACAGTAGTCTGTTGGACTATGTATTGGTAGATAAAAGACTTCAGTAGACTTCAAGATGTACATGTTTATAAAGGGGCCACAGATATATCAGATCACTTTTTAGTTGTAGCTACAGTGAAAGTAAAAGGTAGATGGGATACAAGGAAAATGGAATCAGCAAGTAAAACAGATGAAGGTTTATAAGCTAAAGGAGGAGGCAGTTAGGGTAAGATATAAACAACTATTGGAGGATAGATGGGCTAGAGAGAGCATAGGCAATGGGGTTGAAGATGTATGGGGTAGGTTAAGACTGTAGTGTTAGTGCATTCAGCAGAAGTTTGTGGTTACAGGAAAGTGGGTGTGGGAGGGAAGAAGAGCAATTGGTGGAATGATGATGTAAAGAGAGTAGTAAGAGAGAAAAAGTTAGCATATGAGAGGCTTTTACAAAGTAGATGTGATGCAAGGAGGGAGGAGTATATAGAGAGAAAGAGAGAGGTTAAGAGAGTGGTGAAGCAATGTAAAAAGAGAGCAAATGAGAGAGTGGGTGAGATGTTATCAACAAATTTTGTTGAAAATAAGAAAAAGTTTTGGAGTGAGATTAATAAGCTGAGGAATTCTAGGAAACGATTGGATTTGATAGTTAAAATTGGAGAGGAGAGTTATTAAATGGAGAGTCAGAGGTATCGGGAAGATGGAGGGAATATTTTGAGGAATTGTTAAATGTTGATGAAGATAGGGAAGCTGTGATTTCGTGTATAGGGCAAGGAGGAATAACATCTTGTAGGTGTGAGGAGTAGTGAGTGCGAGGGGAATTTCGTGAGGCAGTGGGTACCTAGGGATTGGCAGAGAGCATCCATAGTTCCTTTGTATAAAGGAAAAGGGGACAAAAAATAGTGCAAAAAATATAGGGGAATAAGTCATGACATCTCCACTGCCTCCAGCCTGCATGTCTGCTACACTCCCTGCATACCTGCTACACTCCCTGCATACCTGCTACACTCCCTGCATGTCTGCTACACTCCCTGCATGTCTGCTACACTCCCTACATACCTGCTACACTCCCTGCATGTCTGCTACACTCCTTGCATGTCTGCTACACTCCCTGCATGTCTGCTACACTCCCTGCATGTCTGCTACACTCCTTGCATGCCTGCTACACTCCCTGCATGTCTGCTACACTCCCTGCGTGTCTGCTACACTCCCAGCATGTCTGCTACACTCCCTGCAAGTCTGCTACACTCCCTGCATGTCTGCTACACTCCCTGCATGTCTGCTACACTCCCAGCATGTCTGCTGCACTCCCTGCATGCCTGCTACACTCCCTGCATGCCTGCTACACTCCCTACATGTCTGCTACACTCCC